TTCTAATATTCTCCACTACAGACATTCTGATTTACCTTCTTATAGATGTCGATGACTTACTCATATCCGACAATTATCAACCTACCATACAAGATATCATCACTAAACTCCAAACTATTTTTTTCTCTAAAAGAATTAGATCTCATTTCTTTCTTCTTGGGCATTCTAAGTTCAAACTACACCAGCTAACTATTTGAATCAAACTAAGTACACCCGAGACATCCTCAATTCATCCGACTTTGACAAATGTAAACCATCTCCTACTCCAATGTCAATCAAACCACCTCAATGTTCTCAAGCAACTCATTCGCTGAATGATCCAGTTCTATACCGCATAATAGCAGAATTTCTACAATATCTCACAATAACTAGACTCGATATTGCCTTTACCACAAATCAAATTTGTCAACATATGCATCATCCTACAAACCAAAATTTCCAATCTCTCAAGCAACTGCTATGATATCTGCAAGGAAGTAAGGAATGGCTCACTTCGACATCCCAATCACGCTAGGAGATCTTTTGTTATAAACATATGCAGATTCTGTCTAGGCAGCGGATACATCCAATCAAAAGTCCACATCAGGTTTCTACAAATTTATGGGTAAAACTCTTATTTCATGGAGAGTTAAGAAATAGACCACCGTAGCAAAATCATCCACCGTAGCAAAATCATCCACCGAAGCAGAATATAGAACTTTTGCATTTGCCACATCCAACATTATCTGGTTGTGACGTCTTCTTGTCGAATTTCAAGCCGCACAAAAGACAACAACAACTCTCTACTGTGACAACACATTTGTTATGTCTTTAGCTAACAACTCAGTATTTCACGCTGTAACCAAACACATATAGATTGATTATCATTTCATCAGCAAGAGAATGTAGTCCAAATAAATTTCAGTTTTACATATCAGCTCAGTTGATTAGCAAGCCAATATTCTTACAAAGCCCTTATCCTTAGCTAGGTTTCAGAACCTCAGAACCAAACTGAGGATCCAACAGCTAGATAATCACTTTGAGGGGGCTGCTAGCACACATGAGAAGCAAGCTGTCAACATAAGCACTATCTTCTTATACCTACTGCATTATCTCCACTACTCTGATTTCTGTTGCAGCTCCACCTGAAGTCTACACACCACCACAGCAAGGAATCTTCCTGCTCTCCAACTAAGTTGTCTCCTGTGGGTCTCTGATAATGCAAGCGGGGTTAGAATAGAGGAGCAAACAAGTCGATTTGAGCTCGAATATGGCCTTGTTCAAGCTCGAATCTCGAGCAAAGTACCAAGCTCGAGCTCAAACTCAAGTCAACAACGAGCTCGGCTCGCCAAAGGAAACCAACTCGTCGAGCTGCTCGTCAAGTCCGACCTCCGATCTCGCGTGTGATCCCGAGTCCGGCCTGAGCCTCAAGTCCAGATAGCAATGAAAAGGAATTTCGGTGAAATTTTAGCGGTTAGATTCAAAGCTTGATTTGGAAAGCTTGATTGGGCTCATACTCGATTGATTGGGTTGATTTGGTTCAGATTTGAAACTGAATCCAACTTAATTTAACTCAATTTGAGTTCAATTTATTTCGATCAAATTAATTTGACGATATTTGACCCAAATTGGCGCTGATTCGGGCAAAATTGAGCTCTACAAGGCACAATTGAGTCGATCGAGCGTGATCGAGGGAAAATGCACAAAAAACGAGGTCAACTTCTCCTACTTTACATTAGCTATATATGTAAACCGTATGTCAAAACCTTTGCTGGTAATGAACATACTATTCAGCTGAAACTATTCTTAATATTCTTTGTTACTCTTTGTATCTTCCTCTCTTCATACTGCACCTACTTTAAGCTTCGACGAAATCAATGTTATTTTGGTAAAGGTCTTTAAGAATTCTAGTCCCATGACGTTGGTTTGTGGTGTGATAAGGAGGCTAAATCGCTTATTTAATGCATCAACAACTCTATTTTAAACTCCTAGTTTGTGCTTAAATACAAAGCTAATTTTTTTTAGGAATAGGACCCATTGCTCATGCATACCACTATGAATTATTTGAGAGTTTAGAAATTACAAGGCTTGGTGGTTGCTAAATAGTACAAAATATTGGCATAACAGGTACACTCCCATTATTTGAGGGTATAATCAACTGTGTATATTCCAACTCATATATGGTCCACTTATGATACGATGCACTAAATTTTTTGCATATGAACTCAATGGTTCATTCTTCTTTCCATAAAATAATCTTATTGCCAATTATAGACGCATCATTTCAACTTGGAATGGATTAACAAAGTTCAAAATGGCTAACACTAGAGTTGAAGTCAACTTGCTTTTGGATTCAAAACCTCCTTGATGTTCATTTTGCTAGGAGAATTATTTTAGTTTGAGAAAGTCAATAATTAGCGTCCTTAGTACATCAAATCTTGTAATAAATTTTGTTCTAGAAGTTTGCTAGGTCACAGAAGCTCTGAACCAATATGATGCATCATGAAATTCACCAAGCTTAAATGGTCGCAACCATCTTGGGATCAACTTCGATTCCACTGGCACTAATTATTAAGCCCAGTAAATGCATGTAGGTGGTGGTGACTTGACATTTGTACCTATTTATAATTAATTTGTGTGCGTGGAGAGTTAAAAAATAGTCTTCAACTGTTTGATATAACTATCTAAAAACACGTGAACAGCCAAGATGTCATCAAAACATACAACAAAAAAAAAGAGAAAAGATTTGAGTACCACATTCACGAGCAACATAAAAGTACTAGAAGCATTACACAGTCCAAAGGTCATGACCTTCCATTCATAAAACCCTTTGTGTATCTTAAACATTATTTTCCATTCGTCTCTTAGGCATATCCAGATTTGATGATAACCTTGCCGTAGGTTTAATTTTATAAATATTGATGTGTCATCCAATCTATCTATAATATCTTCAAATAATGGCATGATGACACAAATCTTGACAATAATTTTATTGATAGAGCATATAGCAAGTGTCGTCATTCTTGGGTGGAAGCAACGCCAAGACAACGAAAGGATACAAATTGTGTTGGATTAGTTTTATGTTTAGCATGTTGTCAACGATATCTTGCAGTATGTTGTGCAGTTTGATGATCATTAAGTAGGGAGGATGTTTGGGCAAGAATGCTTCGGAGCGGGATCGATGTTGAATAAACCACAATGGGGGAAGCCTGGACGAAAGTTCGACTCAACTTATATAGGAGAACAACTCAACTAAATTATGCACCATCATGAAAGGTTTAATTACTGCGACGTCTCCCTCAATAACCACCAAACAAATATAGCATATGATTCTTGGTATGCTACATAAATGTGAGATTCAAAAAGTATCATAAGAGCATAGGCATCCCAGGTAGCTACGAAATGGGATGCAATTGGCTACGATAATAGACGAACATTTTGTCCCTTCCATTCAAAGGAGGGGTTGACTCGCCGGTCATTCAAAGTCCCCATATCAAATTTCCATGGGCTACCTAAGATAACCTGGCTTATATTCATATCAAGCATGTCATATAGAACTTCACAAAGGAAATGCTTACTAGTAGGAAAGGTCGCTCAACACATCTAAGAAACCATAATTTCAACTCCTTTGTGAAGCCAATGATTTTATACAGGTGTAGATGTTTGATGTTGTGTAAATTATGTGTTTTAATAACAACAAATGATATAACATTTTGTTGCACCCGCTATCCATTAGAATTTCACATATTTTGCCACAAATTGCGCACTATGTTCTAAAAATTGTGTTCTTGTGTCAACATTGCTATGGTGGGACTAACAAAATCTTCTACAAAATGCAATCTAGGATGTCACTCTAATCTCCTTATAACTCAATTTCTTTCCCATGTGTATCCAATTCATTCAAACTTGTACAATTCATCCTCAGTGAACTATACTTATCTGCAAATCGAGCACTCATTTAACTTATGCCATGGTTGAAAACAAAGAAAACATTTCAGTGTAATGGTTTTCACATAGTGATTGTCACATCCAAGAGGAGCTAGTTTGTTGTTTGCTTTGTTGTCGGAGTGATTCACCATTTTACTTATGGTTTGGGATTGAAGGGAGCTGCTCTTCAGAGTGCGAAAAATATATTTATATTTGATCCTTTATTCACTATAAGAAAGTGAATATAAAACAAAAATGAACAACCAATTGGTTTCTAGTAAGAGAAATTTCAAAAAAATTCCATTATATTTTTCTGGTTTGCTCGTTTATGGTGGTGGAGGACTCCGGTCATTGGATTCCAGAATATGACGTGCTTATAAATAAGCCGATTTAGCTTCTTTTTTCAACCTATTAAATGAAAAATAATCATCTTTTTCTATTATAAATAAGCTAATTCATTGATGGGAAAAAACAAAACTAAGTATTAGATTGAGAGTAGTGGAGAAGGGGTTGAAGGAGTGCAACAGATTCTGAGGAGACGAAGCTAAGAATGTCAAAGGTTAGTAAATGGAAGTAGCATTTACTGTTTATGTAATATTGTTGTCATTAAGACTAAGCTAAGTGCATTCCTTCAACCCCTTCTCCACTACTCTCAATCTAGAACTTAGTTTTGATTTCTCTCATCAATCAATCGACCTATTTATAATAAAAATAATTATTACTTTGCATATAATATGTTGAATAAAACAGGCTAAATTCTCACACTTCACTATTCTTCATTCAACTATAACAGTATTTTCATCCAATAATTTTATTGGTCAATCTATCAAAAAATGGTTGAATTTGTCTTCTTGATACCATGTTTCAAGATGCATGTTCAAAATTCAACCAATTGCATGCATAAAAAATATTAACTAAATTAAATTACTAATTTGCTCTTAAAAATTCTGCCAAAAATTTACCAGTTTTATGAAGGATGGCTCTATTGCTAATTTGTAGGTATCATTTTTACAAACTATCTATCATCAGAAAACAAATAAATTGAAGCTGAAACCTTTTATTCATTAAGAGATGCTAATAAGTCTTATACATGCCTTCATTCTTGGCCGTTGGTCGCCGTTAAGCTTGCGAACTTGGTAGCCAATCTTTTTGGAAAAGAGGCTTGTTCTCTGTTTCTCTTTGTGCCGGTACACGCTTTCTTCTCTCGATGCTCCACCTCCGACGTCTGGAAACAAGTCAATGGTTGCCAACCTAGCCTGCCATACATTTGATCATAAATACAAGAAAAACCCTAATTTATTGATTTGGAGCATCATAGTCCATTGAGAATTTGGATCATTCAAAATCTAGCGAAGGGAGAATATCTGTGAGTGGTAGGATTTGGATAGGATTCGAAGCAGTGGCGATATAAAAAAAAAAAATTTAAAATAAAAAGATAAAGTAAAGAAGGAATTTGTGACGTACAATGACGTCGGTGGCGGACTCCACCGACACTCTGCGTGTCTCACCGGAGAGAGAGGTGGAGAACGGCGACCCGCTGGGCCACTCTTTTATTACTTCATCATAGTCAAGCTTCAGCCACAGCCGCAGCCGCGGCTCCAAAATCCCAACTTCCGCTGAAGAGCCGTCGGCAATGTCCTTCCCCTCCTCCTTCTCCTTCTTCTTCTTCTTCGTCTTCACTGGCGTTTCTTTCAGCTTAGGAACAATATCCTTCACATTCACAACATCCGCCCACCACCACTCTCCCTTGTCTTTTTGCCTCAACGCCCCCATAATGTTCGAAGAAATGCCAAAGCCAAACCCCAAGCAATCAAAATTGCAGTCTTTGATGGAGTTGGAGCTCATAGATAGGTTTCCCATGCCTATTATACTGTCAATGCCTTCCTCTACCTCATCGCCAAGGATGGATTCAGCGTCGAACTCCGGTGAGCCAGGGTCCTGAAACTGGAAGTATGGCAGGCTACAAACCGAAGAATCTTCCACCTTTGGCTCCAAACTGATGGGAAGCTTCTCAACTGAGTGCGATTCGCAAAGCAGGAGGGTGGCCTCATCGGGAATGGGGCAGGAGGAGAGACGAACAGGTAAGTAATTTTTTCGCCGTAGCATGGCGGGTGAAAAGAGTTTGGGGGATATAGTAGAGAGGAGGGCAGAAGCTTCAGCCGAACTCTGGTTTGGTCGTTTCCGAGGAGATCGAGCTCTTTTAGTTGAGATAAAGAAGGGGGAATAGTTGTTTGACTCGGACAGAGTAGATGAAGGAGATGAAAGCGATGAAGACTTGGTGATGATTTCCAGATCGAGCCTGTAAGTCCGGCCACCGCCATTAATTAGGTAGGACGACGACATAGGGAAAGTTGGAGAAGGAAGTGACCAAGGTCCTAAACTGATGACGAAAAAAGGGGAATTTGTCAAAAGATTCCGAATAAAACTCACACTGAAAGAAAAGGAAGTTCACAGTAGAGTCACCAACCTTGCAAACCTGATATAAAAATCTTCAAATCCGAGAAAGAGAATGACAGAGGGAGAAAGAGGAGAAGAATAAATAAAGCCAATGAAATGGTTTTGCTTCTAAGGAAGCGAGGAGGTATGGAATCAAGAGAAGCGCTTTCATGAATTCGACAAGTGCTCAACAGGTGAAGATGAAAAAGCTACGGCGGCCTCCGCGGCGGAAGAGGAAGAGAACCCTGAAGGTGTACCGAAATGCGGAAAGGAGGGTTTTTTGAGCGAGAGTAAGGTGTCAAGGACTCCCAAGGACTGTGTGTCTTTTTTTTTTTTTTTTTTTTTTTTTTTTTTTTTTTTTTTTTGGAAATATTTGGGGCCTTAGCCATTTTATAAAATGAAGAAAGAAATACAATAAAAAATGACAGCCACCACAACCAACCAGTGGCTGTCAACAAAACCCTATCAGCAATAAAAAAGCTGCAGAAAAAAAACTAGAACAAACTATCAGCCATAGGCTGCAGAAAAATAAGAAAAAGCAGGCATAACATAATCCAAAAAGATAGTAGAAAGATAAGAAAAGGACTCAGATAGCAACAATCCATTAAATAGCCGAGCGTCAAAATTCATCCAGACAGATGTCATAGTCCCCTGGTTGCCAGAATGACCTTCCAAGGGGAAGTAAATAATGTTGCTTTCATCATTGTCCTTCAAAAGCATATTACCCGGTTGCCCAGAAAGGCCCTCCAGGGAATGAGAGCAATTCGGTTTTATAGCATCAGTAGTCCAGCAGGTCCTGCAAAATAGCTCAACTCGCATCATTCCAGCCAATGTTGTAAATGTTGGAAGCATTTCCTTTTGAAAGTCTTATAACGAACAGCTCTTTTAATCATGCTAATAACAGTGGTCTGGCATTCCAAAATATTCCCAAAACTCCTGTCATTTCTAGCCTTCCAGATGAAATAGACAATCGCAGAAAGCAGGAGATAGCAAAAACTTTTCGTATTTGAATCCATATCCCCCTCATCAATGGAATTAAAAACTTGCCAAAGATTCGGTCTAAGCAGCATGCATTTCATGCGAGGAGGAGTGTGTATAAGAATATGATAAGTAAAATTGCAGCCAAACAAAAGATGGTTAAGAGTTTCCCTTTCATCTTTGCAGAAAATGCATTCAGGGGCCACCGAAATACCCCTGGAAATCAGAACATCCGCAGTTTTTATCCCATTCCTGAAAGCCATCCAAGTGAAGATAGAGAAGCGGGTAACATGGTGTTTGAACCAAATGAAATTTGACCACTGAACAGGTTCCAAATCCTGAAAAAAATTGTTTATGAAAGGTTTTGAAAGAAGGTTTGCCATTACCATCCCCATTCCAGTTAGAGACCGCTTTGTTACACGAGATGTTAACAGAGGAAATTAAAGCTGCCAGATTGTGCGGGATAGGCGTAGGTAAAGACCAAGTGCCATCAACGATACAGCTACTAACCAAAATATCGAAATTGGGGATTAAATTATCCAGATTATCACTAGCAAGTCTTTCAGCAACAGAAAGACCATTGCACCAAGGATCCCAAAAAAAGGAAAGCTTGCTGGAGGCAGTTATGTTAAGAGTCAAGTTCTGCCTTAAAGTTTTTGCAACATCACATAGGAAATGCCAATACAGAGAGCTAATTAGGAGGGTTTTTTGAGCGAGAGTAAGGGGTCAAGGACTCCAGGGACTTTCATTTGCATTTTCCAAGCTGCTGCCACGTCCCTCTCCCTCTCCCTCTCCCTCTCGAACAGTTATTACGTACCGGAAGTGCTCAATAACATTTGTCACTTGCTCTTACCTTTTACCGCGCGGCTCGATCTGAATCAGATCGGAACCCGATATTATTATATTAGGGTATTGCTAGGTATTTTTTGACAATAACGAGAAATACCGCTCTGTCAAAATCAACATCGAGCAATACCTAGCATAACCGGTATATTGCTCGGTATTGCTTTATATTGGTCTTGACAGAATGGAATTTATTGTTATTGCCGAGCAATATTGAGCAATACCTAGCAATACCTCGGTCTGCACAAATCAACTAATACATAGCAATCTCGGGTTCAGTCCGGGTCAGATCGTCGGGCCGCACGGTAAAGAGAAAGAGCAAGTAACATTATTTCACTGGCGTCTGAACGTAGAGCTACGTCATGACACCGGACCTAATAAAAAATTCCCTCCATCAGTCCCTCTCTCTCCAGTCTGTTACTTTTCTACCTTTCCATAATGCCTCTTCGTTTCCTTGTTAAAATAATTCGGTGAGCTTAATCTGATTTAAAGCTTGAACATATGATTATTAATATCTTTTTACTTATTGGAAAATGGATCGCTCAAAAATCAAAATAAATTTAAATTTTAAAGCTTAAAAAAATGATTAGATCTTCTGATTCGAGCTTTCTTCATTTATAAGACATGGTAAGGCTCAGCCGCATCAATAGCTTTTTCCCGCAGCCGCTCTGCTAGGGTTTCGCTTTGCTCCGGGTGTTCTCCCCGCCCCGCTGGGGCTTCCCCTCCGGCGAGCTCCTGGATTCAGGGAAGTTCTCTCCTTTCCTGTTATCTACTTTTGTTTTGGTGGATGTTTTGGTTGGTTTTCTTGTTTTTCTCCGGCGGTGCCGATATGGCGCCTAGTAAATTTAGGGACCCTGGTTTTTTAGGTGGGGTTTCTCATTCTCGTTCTTTTCTTGAGGCTCTTGCTGGTTCTACACCTTCTTACCCAGTTTTTCGGTCTTCTACGTTTCGTGGCTTGCCGTCTTTATGGATTTCCGACCAGGAAATCAACGATCTTGCTGCCCCTTTTCAATTCTCGTTAGTTGGTTTTTTCCCTTCTAAGAAACCTGCTCTTGACTCTATTAGGAAATTTTTCTTCAATTTGAAGCTTAAAGGAGAAGTCTCTGTTACTATGTTGGATCCCTCTCACATTTTGATCAAGTTATCCAATGATCTTGATTATTGTAGGGTGTTCTGTCACCGATCTTACCTTGTCTTTAATTTCTATATTAAATTAACAAAATGGTCACCTAGCTTGGATATCGGTGTTGAGTCGCCGATTATTCCGATTTGAATTTTGTTTCCGCGTCTTCGTCCACACTTCTTCTACCCACGGATTCTCTTTGGGCTTGGTGGGATTTTTGGCAAGCCTTTGAAAATTGATGAAGCTACTTCGGTTGGTTCCTAACCTTCAAATGCGCGTGTTTTGGTCGAATTTGACATAACAAAATATTATCCTAAGCAAGTTTGGTTAGGCTCTGTAACTTTAGGTTATGTCTAGGAGGTTGTGTTAGATGAATTTTCTCATTTCTGTGTTGCATGTAAATGTATTGGACATACTCCGGGTAATTGCTGTCCCGTTTCGGCTAGGATTCCTAATGATTCTTCTATCCCGAAAGCAAATTTATCCCCCCACTGTGTTGAAAATGTTGATAATGTCGCTACTCCTTTTATGATAGAGGTTTTGGGTAGTGATATTGCTAATAATGAGGTTGTGCTTGATGCCTTGCCCAGTAATGGCTCACCGGTTTGTTCTCCTGGCGCTGTGGGATCTCCTGCCCCGTTGGCTGGTGTGTTGCCTGGTGATGAGGTTGGAGTTCTTCCGGCCCCAGCTCGGGTGCCGGAAAATAGCGATGTTTTGGGTTGTTGTCCTATTCTGGTTCAGATTGATCCCTAGACTTCTTTAGTGCCTATTTTGGGTGTCGAAGTTTTATCCCCTGACGCTCAACCTTTTACTCCTTTGGGTATGAATTTGGCCTCCAATCGTGTATGTCATAGTGCTGAGGCCCTTCCTCATGAGGCTCCTTTGGTGTCTGTGAGGTCTGCCCCTTCTGCTTTGGTTGGTCATTCTTTAAATTCTGAGATGTTGGATTGCTCGGTTAAGCCTGCTGTCGTGGAGATTTTGGGTGAGGAAGTGTGTAAGATGGCTGTTTTTGGTATCTCTAGCCCTTCTCGTAATGATCGCTTAGTGAATAATGATTTTGTAGATGTCCCTGTTACTTTTATGGAGCCTCAAGAATTAATGTATAATTTAAAGGATAATTCGGGCATTGATTTGCGAGTCAAGCTGGACTGGCTTCATGACTATAGTTCTGATTCTGCTTCTGATTATGTGGAATCAATCGGAGATGGCAATCCTGGCAATTCTTTTAATTTGTTGTGCGATCAACCTCTTGTTTCTGTTGCCTTTCGTGGCCGGGGCAGACGTGGTCGCTGATTGTTGGATTTTGGTTGCTTATTATGTTGCTTTTCTATCGTTAGAATGCCTTTATGGCTTGTTGGTTGACCGTTCAAATAGTTCTGATATGGACGATGAGGAAGCAGGGTTGCTGCAAGCGTCGTGGATGGCCAGGGTTGGTTAGCAACCTGGTTGGCCGTTCGATTTTGTATTTTCCAGTGGATGGTCTCGCCCTGGCAACCCGAAGTTGGTCTGAGTCCGACTTTACCGACTCTTATCCATATTGGTCTTTGCTTTGTTTTTACTGTTATTCCTTTAAGCTTATGTTGTGGCTAGTTGTGTGGTCTCCTTTTGTATCCTCCTTTTATAAATGAATTGTTGTTTAAAAAAAAAAACATGGTAATATTATTAATATGATCTTTAAATTTATCTTTTTTTTCGATCACGTAAGATGTGCAACGTTAGTGAGCAAGAAAAAAAAAATCATATATTTAAGATGATAAAAACATAATAATTCTAGAAATTAAATATCATATAATCATTTTCAATTTTCTAAGTAATTTCAATAATTTTAAAAATTAGGTGTCATAAAATAGAAAAATTATTACAAGCAGAATCCGGATATGGAGTTGATTCCGAACTCTTCGTATCTAATGAGTGTTTATTAAGTATTTTTGCTGAGAGTATTACTGTGTATTTTACTAAGTATTAAATATGCAATAAATACTTGACAAATACGTAATAACTACACTTAGTAGATACTCAACAAATACACAGTAATATAAAATCCTAAAGAATAATAAATAAATAGTACATTCAATAGATAAAAAATCATCACAAATGTACATATTGCATGTTAGAATAGTCAAAATAGTTTATAAATATTATATCATCTTAGTATTACACGAAGAACTCTCACATGTATAGATAAATAACCCACAATATGTAGAAAATACAAGCATTTTTAATATGAAAAACTAAAATGATAAAAATAATGAGACAACTCAGTAAAAATAGTTCAATTATATATGTTTAAAGTTACAAAGATATTTATTTTTTTGCTACTAGGAGAGGCGAGCTTATGATATTTTAATTGTATGGATTGCCACATGAAATGATGGAGGGAAATATTGAAAGACAATAGTATAATTACGTAGATCATGTATGATATCGATGAATGAGTGATATTAGCCTATTGACATCATCATAATTTGATGGGAAATTGATACCATTATCATCCATAGTAGATGTTGGAGTATGTGCGATGACACCTATCAAGATCAATCAATAGTTAGCATAAAAAAGGGCAACAAGGACCATTGAAGGACAATATGTGATGGTTTGAAGTATTAAATCAACGATGATGATGAAGACACACATATATCATCATTCATTTATATCAATTGAGACGGATGTCATAGGATGGATGATGCAATCGTCAATAACAATTAATGGCGAGTATTAACAAATATGGAATGATGATTTTCAAAGGATGCATGATGTCAATTGTTGGTGTTACTTAATGATTTGTGATGTCATATGAGCAATAATTATTGTCTACGTTGGTCGAGGGAGACATGAGCCGATCCCCAATCAGTTCAGGGTGGGCAAAAAAAGATAATGTAGAAGTAGGGTAATTTTGGAATTCTACCGCCCCCCCCCCCCCCCCCACATCAAAAAATAAAATTTTGCCTAATATTGACTCAACCCCCCTGTTTGCCCATCCATCTGAATTCTGAATGTTTCCTCTTCATGAATCGCACGCAACCTTCAGCGTTCAGCATTCTACTTCAGCCTTACGGACTGTGTGAAATGACTCCTCCCTTCTCTGTTCGCGAAACGCCTCCTCCCTCTAACTAAACCCTAACCTCCTACCCTAGCTCAGCCAACCTGTAGGTCATGCTAAACTCTCACAACCTATTAAATTCAAGCCGAACAGAGCAGCTCCAATCCTCCACCGGCGATCATCGGCCGATCCCTTTTTCTATTTCCTCTCGACAAGAAGGTATTCTATATTCATTATTTTGCTCATCAAATCCAGTTAGTTGTGGTGGCTGTTACAAAAAATCTTTGACAAGTAAAATATTTATTTGAGATTACTTCAAGAATTATAAATACTATTAGAGCTTTATGCAAGAGAAATGATACTCTAAAATTAAAGTTATACAGCTTGAT